AGGTTATATGAAACTTGTAATTTCTTAAGATGAGTATTAAACTATGAAAAGACTTTTCAGTCAATCACACTGAGAGTGGCTTTGTAAGCTGATGGACTACCAAAATCTGTCAATATTGTTTGCATAAAATAGCATGAGATGCTTGAAACAGGACTGTGATCTGTCACAGCTTTTAATTTGAAAATGAGCATAGATAATGCTAGGTCATCTTTTGTTAATTTGTTATTTTGTGAAACAGCTGTAATTGTCCTAGCTTGAGTGCATTCATTCATTTCACTCATGTTGATTTAATTCTATGTCGTCATATGTCATCTTATATCCAAGTTATCAGTATATGTACTGTATGTTACATCTATTCGACTACTGTAAAAATATTTGAGGCCGTAGCTTTAATAGAGACATTGTTTCATGTTGAAATTGACAAGTTTTGTATTGTAGTATACAGTACCGTAAAATGCAAATGCATACAAATCTATTTGTAGATATTATTTATTGTGCAGTATGTTATACAGCAGTGTGAAATTACGTTTGTGTACAAGTTTGTCTGTGTGTAAAAATCCAAAAGTGCGCTTATAATCGCAACAAATTTGCAACCAAGTGTAATGCATCTCATTAGCATATCATTATCCCTTCTGGCCTTTGTTTTTTGAAAAATTTTCCCACTGTTACTGAAGTGAATGCTCCAATTAAAGCCGCACCAAGACTTCACGCATCTGAATTCGTCCATTGAAAAAATGAATTTTAATTAAAGCCGCGGCCTCAATTAGGAATTTTACGGTACTAAATGATTTCGTTAACCCATATTTCTGGCAAAAATATTTTTTTTTTACTTTGACAATTTTAATTGTCAGGGGTTTTCATAATATGAGATTGACTTGAGTTATGCAGATTTTCCTGGTCACTGAAACAATCTGTTTTTAAAATGTTATTTGTAATTCCTTTGCCTTGGTTCTTTAGCAATTATGTGTATTAAGTTGGAAAGCTGGACTTGCCAAAGATTCATGACTTCCTGAAATTTTAAACTTTGCATTGCAAACCTGTCATTTTCTGCGAGCCTTGCATTGTGACAGTCAGTTTATATTTAATGGTAGTGGTTGTAAAATTGCATGGAAACAGATAATTTATATTACATGCGTAAGTTGCATGGGACCCATGTCAAACATGACGCGATGTATTGACCATAACATTCTAATAAAGTCATTCATGCATTATTTCTCCTGCTCAAACTCAAACAGCTGCTCATTCATTCACTCACTATTTGTAATAAAAAGCAAAAAAAATCCATTGACTTTCCGGTATTTCTATCGGTGGTACAATTCTAATGATACTGAAATAACAGTTGTGTTACTTGACATTTCAGAGACGAGGCTGCTGGTTTTTGTTATGTGAATGATGTTGTACTTGGTATACTTAAACTGAAAGAAAAGTTTAATAGAATAATGTATATAGACATAGATCTTCACCACGGAGATGGTAAGTCACTTACTACACTCTTACAGAGTTTTCATGAAAAAAAAAACGACCAAATTTTATTAAACCTCACTGATAGTACTGATTCATGTAGTAATAAACATTATTATTTTGCCATCAAGGTAACTTACATCATAATAGTGAAGTTCGTACAAATCTGTAGTGGCGTTCACGTTAGAGATCTCAGCACATGCTGAGACTCTGGACTGAGACGGCACGTGTCGAAAAGTATATGTGAACAGTTGGGACCGAGTTGGCTCATGCCGGAAAAAAATCGATGTCGGTCCTGACAAGCGGGACCGAAACTCGGCACGTCCCGAGATTTGCTGCCTGAACGCTCGGTACGAGCCGAAATCACGTCCTCGCTGGTGAATTTAAGAGAACATATCTGATTCATCCTGGTATGACAAGACGATGTAGGGATGTGCAGCTATATATAGTCTGATGCTGTAGTAATGAATTAAATGTGCAGAACCTTGTCGGCGACACATTTATGTGCTGCTGTAACCATTTTTTATTGCAATGCTACATGGACAAGAAAAAATAATTGTTTTTCGAATCTTTTTTGCCGTTCATGTGCACGATGACTCATAATAAATGTCATAACCGCAAATGGATATAATTTCAATATAGCAATTTTTATTATTATTATCATATGCGTATCGTTTTCATGTTTGAGTCAAATAATGGATCAAAGAATGAGGGCGTGATTTTGGCACGAGTCGAGTGGGTTCCACATAGGTCCCAACTAATACGTGAACGCAACTGCTGTAATCCCTCTGCAAACACAAAGGATTAAAAAAATTCAATACTTGCCGAGATCCCTTAACGTGAACGTAGCAAATATCACTATGCTGAGTACAAACAAAAATAGCAGCCATGATAAATTAAAGTGTGAGTGTAAAACAAACACTTTTGTAAACTGCTCTATGATTGGTCAGCAAAATTTGCTGATAGAGGTCTCGTTGAACAAGATTTATATGGGCATTGAATCAGATGTAGGTCGGCCATCAAAATGACAAAATCTTAAAACCATGTAAAAGCAATAAAATACTGTTAATTCAAACAAAATCAATAATAGTTACTACCTTATACTAAAATATATTTGGATATTTAGAGTACTAACAAATTCCAACTTATGATCCGGTTAGACTTAAAATACACCACGAATATTCACTTTTGAGATATAATTTATAATGCCTTTGGTTCATTATTTGCTGAGGGACGGCCACTTAGGTATGTGATCTGTAACTTGCAGCAAATGAACCTTAAAAACGTTAGGTAATCAAACAAAAATGACGTACTAAAGTCCAAAAAGTACCTTCAAGGTCTGCATTTTTTCGTAGCATAAAAACGATTTACTCCCTTGCTTATTGTGACACCCTCAAATCAACTGATTTCCATTCACCTCAAGAGTCAAAATGGTGTGTGCCTCCATTTAACGCCACGGCTCGAAAAAGTTTTTTTTGCTTGACGTGTTCATTTGCCTACCATAACATTTCAGTGGCTGTCACAGTCGTATTCTGAGTCTTACCGATAACATTTTGGTTCAAATTCACATACCTATTGCCGAAAAAACTCAAATTTTCAACTAAAGCTAATTTGCATAACAATGTTTTTGCCCTTGGTTGCCATATTGGACAGCGCATACAACTAGGGAAATTCATTCGCATTAAATTGCGTTTGCCGTGATAGGTACAAATGTATTTGCACTAAAGTACGTTCAAGATCTGCACTTTCTCATAGCATAAACACGGTTTTTACCATCGATTACTAAAATCAAAATATAATTGAGGTATCTATCGCCGCGGTAAGTAGTTTCGATCTTTTTTCACTCAAAAGGCAATGGCGATAAGACTAGATTCTCAAGGACGCAGGTCGTTTGGATCGGATGATTTCTTTTGTTTCCAATTCGTTGTACGCCTAGAAACATGGCAACGTTGTTTTTGGTGAATATATAATGTTCTGTTCCAATAAAGGATTTCGATATGCATATAACAAGTTCTTACTGAAACATTTCCTGTACACTCTGAAATTTGACAATGCCACTAGCCCAAGATGGACTTTCTGTTCAACACGTTGAATGTTCGCGTCACTGTATGTAAAAATACAGTTGCATAAATTATGAAGATTGATGATTCGATTGCTGACCAGGATAGCTGCATTTAGTGTTCTTTTCCATGCAATATATCGTACTCGATCGCTTTAGCGTCCATGCCCAGGCAAATACCCACCCCCCACTTTTGTGTAATTTTTGACTCCCGTGTGCGAAGCACAAAAGGGAGTCTTTGCAGTTACCCTGTCTGTATGTATGTCACTTTTTTTGTTCCATCGTTATCTCAAAAACCACTAATCAAATTTTGGTGAAACTTGGTAAATAGATGCTCTGGGATAATTCGCAGAGTTGATTAGGTTTTGGTAAAAATCTATGAATATTAATTACTTAATTTGCATGATAATTAGCTGATTTTTAGCTGTTCTATGACTGTTCCGCTGATTTTTGAAGAACCACTCATTGGATTTCAATGAAACTTGGCACATGGATGCTCTGAACTAATGCGCAGATTTGATTAGCTTTGGGTAAAAATCTGTTAATATTATTAATTACCTAATTTACATAATGATTAATCAATTTTCGGCTTTTTCACTGATATCTCAAGTACTAATCATAACATTTCAATAAAACTTGGTACATAGATGTCATATGATACTGCACAGACCTGATAGTTTTTAGGGTAATTAATTACCTAATTTGCATAATTAATTAATTTTCAGCTTTTGATATTTCGAGTAGTAATGATAACATTTCAATGAAACTTGGTACATTGTTACTTGAGGACTATGCAGAGACCTAATTAGTTTTTGGGTAAATATTTGTGCATATTAATCACTTTATTAGCATAATTAGTTAATTTTCAGCTTTTCACCTGATATCTCAAGTACTAATCATCACATTTCAATGAGACTTGCGACATAGATTTTCTAGGACTATGCAGAGACCTGATTAATTTTGGGATAAATAATTTTACCTATTAATTACCTAATTTGCATAATTAGTTTTTGCTGTTCTATGGCTGTTGCACTGATGTCTAAAAACCACTCATTGGATTTCAATGAAACTTTTAAAGAGTACTCATCACATTTCAATGAACCTAGGACTATATCGCATATTAGTTTTTGGTAAATATTTATGCTTCTTAATTAACATAATTAATTAATACTGATATCTCAAGTATTGATCATCACATTTGAATAAAACTTACATAAATGCTCAAGGACAATAGACAGCCTGATTAATTTTGGGTTAAAATCTGTTCATATTAATTCTCTAATTATCATAATAATTAATATTTTCTTGGTTATAATCACATTTCAATGAAACTTGGTACATTGTGCAGACCTTATTAGTTTTACTGTTCATATTAGTTACCTTATTTGCACAATTAGTTTTCCACGTTTCCTTCAACATCTCAAGTTCAAGTAATTTTAATTAATTTTTAATGTGTCTCCAATACTCTCAGCACACAGGAGTTCTTTCTAAGCTTTCTTTGATTATATTTGGGGTCACATTCGGCAAAGCCCCTTCAAAATGCAACTAATTTAAAACTTGGTCTTGCGTAAAGAATTCTTGGTAATCGTTTTTATATGATACAGCGTGGATATCGACCCCTGTGAATATGTTGTGAATGTGTAGACCACGGTAACCATGCGTAAACTGTGCTTTGACAATGACCTGTTAATACAAGTAAAATGCGGTAAATATTTCATGCCATATTCAGTTTACCTCTCAAAAACCATGTCGTTTATTTGCTGAAATCAATTCCAACAGATCGTACTTCGACATCGGTAATTCACTTCCGCATTGCGTTACCGGAAAGTCTTCGTGAATTTTTGAAGATTTGCGTTGGTACAATACCGCATTCTGATTGGTTAATAACCAACTTGACCCATTAGGTCAATGGACGCTGCTGCAGTTCAAATCTGCAAATGCGTCATGGCGGTAAGTGATTTTCATCGAGAGTTTGCGTACGATCCAACACCTTCGTCAGTGGAGATAATGATGAGAATTTTGACTAAGATTGTGTTCCAACAGATTCTAATGTTTTTAATTTCGTAAATTCTGGTGGTACGTACCGGTAATTAATATTGTAATAAAATGTGCATATTTTTTGTAATCATTTCTGTTTCTTCATTGTGAAAATCAATGATGACGCAACTAATTTCGTAATTTGATTTTCCCTCATTGACGTAATCTGTCACATGATGAATCAAAATTTACATTTGCACTCTTTATCGAGGGGGTGCTCGGGTAAGTGCCCACCCCTAAAAAATCAGGATTTTCTGAGTTGAGGTCCCTGGGCGCTAACGCGGTCGAGTACGGTAAAATCATATCGATGCTGTGGGTGGCGAAGGGTGACAGATTGTGCTCTCAAGGCACGGGCAACTGACATTTCCTGACTTTTTTTTTACTATTCTGATGTGTTCTGGGCTGTATAACAGTCAGACTGGCTGGTTGGCGATCCACTCCGCTCAAAAACAGGCAACATGTTTTGGCCGTTTCCATGGTGTGATATAAACGTGAAGCTAACGTCTGTTTATAACTAATGGGCCTGTTTCCAAAGTTTGCAAAAGCCATTCAGTCTTTAGAAGTCACTTAGTTTATTACTACCGGTAGAACGTATTCTGCTGTTACATTTATTATTTCCAACTGTTTTGCGATAGTATTTTCCAGAATGAAGGCAGCATTTACAGTTCATTCAAAGTTCAAAGTTGCGTTGGGAATACGTTGATACAGTGTAACAATGTCGGCGCCGGTGATCTCTGACCAGTGCGCAACGTAGCCAAAATAATAAGCATGATCATTTCAGCACTCCTATTACAAAACTGGTAGGAGGTAATACATTTGGGGCGAAAGTATTCAAAAATCAGTTTTTGGATGTTGCAATGGCAGTGATGGGCCAGGATTTTTTTCCAATTAGTGACAGTACGACCTATCTGTGAAGTATGAACAAAATTAGAGTTAAGGTCGTTGCTGGTGAAAAGTTACCCCAACTTTGGGGTCAAATTTCTCGGTAATGAAAAAAGATATCAAAAATTCAAATTGTAACTTTCTGCCCTCACTCAAGCTTAGTAGAATGAGCTATGTCTGAAGTGTTTTATTCTAAATTTGTAGGAAGAGATACATTTGGTGCGAAGCTATCCAAAAATCAGTTTTGGGGCTGTTGCTATGGCAACGGTGAAGCAAAAAAAAAATTCAGATTTTTCCTTTAAACTATGGTGAAGGTGTAACCTACCTGCCAAGTTTGAGCGAAATCGGCCAAGCCAAAAAAATCACAGAAGGAATAATACGTGAAAACACTGGAAATCACAGACACACAAAATGACAAACGTGATTATAAGGGCAATCGCCAATAATTAATATTTCATTTTTGTTAGTGTATCTTTAATTTTATTTATTAAAATATGTACACATTATATCTAATTAGGGTGGGAATTGCAAAGCCAATTTATAAAATTATAAGCAAATATTTTCGTAATTAACACTAACCGTGAAATACGCCCTTAAGAAGTGTTACTGACAGAATATTTTATATTGCAATTTCTTTCAATTTAATTTAATAATGTATATATATATATAGTGTAGATACAATAGTCGATTATTCCAAAACAAAAGTGCTCAATACAAAGTATATGTAGAGCGGGTGAATACGGTGAAAGAGGAATTAATACACAACTACATGAATATTGAAACTCGACAGCACTGTTTCGTAAGGTACAAGTACCTCATTCATCAGGAGCTTTATGTTTAATCATTCACTGCACCAAAGAGAATACATTATAAGCTTCGCAAATTAACATATTAATTGAAATTTAATCGAAAGTTTAATTGTTACATATTAAAGCTTTTGATCTGTGTCGGCATAATGACACAAGTTCATTTCTTTTGTTTAATGTGGAGTGGTGGGGTCTAAAAATTATGATGAATTTTTCTTTCAAACATAAAATACATCGTTTGCTGGAGCTATTATACGGGCTACCGCGAGCTAGAATTTTCCATTGTATTTTATATTCAATAACTTTTTCTTTGAGTGACCAGACGTGTTTACTTAGTTCTGTCGCATTTCTGGAGGCCTGATTGCGAAATGAGGCCGTGTGGTTTCTATATCTTGTTTTGAACTCATTACCAGTAAGTCCGACGTACGTTTCACTGGTGTGTTTGTCTAAACGCGTAACTTCCGCTTGGTATACGACGCCGGACTGCACTTCCCGTCTAGTGGACATGTTGTTTTTTTCTGGCAATTACACAACTTGTTGGCTTTCGTTTCGTCAGTGGTAGTGTTATTTTCAGTCGTGAGTTGGTGTTTGTTTTTCTTGTTGATGGTATCTTTGATGTTGTTCATACAGCTATAGCTGACTTTGTAATTCTGTTAAATATTTTCTTGAGGTTGTTGCCGGTAGGAAAGCACTTGTCGATTAGATCCAGGAATCGCTTTCCTATACTGTTACGGACGCTGCAGCTATATGGTGGGTTGAACCAAAGGACGTTGCTACGTGGCCGTTTTTTTTACCCTTCTCTGTGGGGGGGCTCAAACTTTAGTTGGTGTTTGTAGCCGTTTTCACGTAGAGCTCTTTGGCAGGGTGGTGCCGCGATGTCAAACATCTTCTTATCTGACGATATTGCAGGAAGACGCTTGTTAATCCCGGCCAGGATATTTTTTGTGATGGCGGGTGGGTGATTACTCTCCTTGTGTACATATACCAAGTTGGCATTAGGCTTTATGAAGGGACTGTACGAACTTTCAATGAGGTTTAGCGTGACATCAAGGAAGTTTACGATTTTCTTGTTTGCTTCGATCGTGATCTTTAGGCCGTTGTTTTTAAACATGCGACAGATAGCTTTATTGATTTTTTTCAGTCTCTTTGGGTGAGGCGTCTAAGGCGACTAAGCCATCATCTCGGTATAGACCGATGTGAACTTTCTTTTTTAACTGTGCTTTGAGCTGTGAAAGCAGGAAGCAGCCCACAAGTAAGTTCACAGGTCTCTGCGCCGTCGAAACTTCCCATTGCAACATCAAACGTGTTGGAGCCCTCTTTTGCCATGGCGATTGATTATGGATCAACAATGTTTGTTTGGCGTGAGTGATTATGTTTATTTCTTCATCCGGGATATTATCATAAGCCGAGGCAAAACGTATCGTTTTGCTTAATAGATCCTCGCTTATGGATGGGTAGAATTCCACAACGTCAAAACAAATAAAGTTATAGTGTGCCTTATTGTCGATGTCGAACCATTTTATCACGGAGGACGTATTTTTCCACTGGTGGATATCAGTAGCTTTGATGATTTTCTTGTTAATTTTATCCAGGATTTGTTTGCTTATCTTCCCTATTTCAGATTTGGTTGGATTGATTAGTCTGCACGATGGGTTATTTGCGAAGTTCGGTTTGTGATCTTTTAGGGTTATGTAAGCCTCCTTCTTCGCGAAGCTTATAATGTATGCTCTTTGGTGCAGTGAATGATTAAACATAAAGCTTCTGATGAATGA